ACAGGGACAATCTTCCACCGAATCATCCCCAACTTCATTCTCCAAGGCGGCGACCCAACGGGAACTGGCTCAGGCGGAACAAGCATCTACGAGGAACCCGAATTCGAATACGACCCGACAGCGCGCGATCCGAACGAGAAAGTAGTCCTGCGCGATGAACTGCACAGCCGGTTACGGTTCAATCGGCGTGGATTGGTTGGGATGGCGAAAGCCGAGGACGGGAGCTACGGGAGTCAGTTCTTCATTACATTGGGGGATGCGAGTCGGGAGTTGAATGGGCAGTGTACGTTGTTTGGGAGGATCGAGGGAGATAGTATTTATAATGTATTGAAGATTGCGGAGGGCGAGGTCGTGGAGGGGACCGAGAGGCCGGTTTATCCCATTAGGGTTACCGGGTGTGAGGTGGGTGAGTTGGGGCCGTTGGAGGGGAAGATTGTGAAGAGGGATTTGACGGCGAGGAGTTCTGCGACTGCGACTGCTGAAGGGAAGGGTGGGAAGAAGGCAGCACAGGCGAAGAAGAAGGGAAAGGCGAAGGGAGGGAAGACGCTGCTCAGCTTTGGTGATGATGAGGGTGAAGAGGGTGAGGAGATGCCTGTCAGGCCGGCGAAGCCGAAATATAATGCTGCGCTGGTGACGGATACTACAGCTGGGAACGGGGTTGCGCCAGCAGAGAAGAAGCCCAAGGCAAGGAAGGCGTCACCGTCACCACCACCGCGCAAGCGCGCTTCGCCCACCCCTCCACCCATTGACCGACCCAAGAGTCCCGACCCAGCGACGCAACTTCCTCTGCGCGATCCAGAGTCTCCTGAGCGCTCTCCCAGCCCAGAAGAACAGCCAGCACAAAAGTCCAAGCTCGAGCGAACCAACGCCGAGATTGAGTCCCTAAAAGCCTCCATGCGCCGCACCGTAACCACGGAATCAGATACAGGACGCAAGAAAACCGCCTTGGAAGCTATGATCCCTCAAACAGCCATCCGCGGCCGCAGACGCCCACCACCAGGATCCTCAGCAAGTACCAGCGCCAGCAACGGGATAACGGGCTTCTCTAGCACCAGCGACAACGCCGCACTGAAGATGTTCAACGCTTTCAAAGCGAAACTTGAAAACGCCGACTCTGCCCCTACCACCACCACTACGACCAGCAAACAACCCCAATCCAGACCCCAGAAAGAAGAGGAAGAAGACGAGGAAGACGAGGAATCTCAACTCTGTGACCTCCACTTCATCGTGAACTGCCAATCATGCAAATCCTGGTCTGACAACAACGCAGCCGGCACTGATGCCGCCGAAGGCAATGAAGACACCAAATTAGGCGACGACACAGACCAAGGCTGGTTAACGCACCAGCTCCGCTTCGGGAAAGATACGCTGGGCAAGGATCTGAAATGGAAGAAAGAGCATCCGGACGACGTGGATAGTTTGATGGTGATTGATCCGCGGGAGAAGGAGAAGGATATTGTTGCGTCCGGGTCCGGGTCTGGGAGGAAGAAGAGGGGGATGATGGAACGGGATCGTGAGAGGGATAGGAAGAGAGGGAGGGTGGGAGATTTGGAGTGGGAGAAGGGGAGGAAGTAACTTTTCTTTCATTGACATTGACATTGGTCAGTTGATGTGTAACATACATACATACTATACTACTTATATCCTATACTACTTCTATATGGTATATCGGAATTGAATGAGGATAGAACGTCAATGGAATTCAATTTCAGCTGGGGGTTTGGGAGAGAAACAAGAAAAAAGCAAGAGAGGAGAACCTAATGTCATTTTATTTTAATTCATACTATGAACAAAACGTGCGCCGCTATCATTAGAATCGTGGTATGTGTAGAAGCATTCTTTCGTGTACGGGAGGAAGAGGAAATAGGAAACCAGACGATTAGGCAAGGGGGAGGAGTGTGTGTGATAAGGGTATGATTGCTTTTTTCTTTTTTTCTTTTGTGAGGCCGTCAGTCAATGGAGAGAGGCGTGAATTTCAATCAATCAATCAGTCAATCAGTCAACTCAGCTGTGATGCGATGTCTTGATCTGTTGTTTGAAATCAGGCGGGAGAAGGGAGAGGGGGATTGACGAGTTCATCATATGGTAAGGTGTAGGTAGGCATGGGTATAGGTATGGGTATGGGGGATTATATGCAGCGATATACCTCATTTGAGAAAAGGCAAGGCAAATGTAAAGTTTAAGCTTTTATTCGTATTCGTAGTTCCAAGGTTGGCTCTTGATATTGCCTTCCGCAGACACACAGCCCCGTTAGTAATGTCATCAAGCAGAATGAAAATAATAAAAAATCAAGCCTTCTTGCGCCGCTTCGCGCCGCCGCCATTGCCCTTACCTCCCTGAGAATCGTTAGTTTCGGACCCGCCATACTGCAAGCCATCATCCACCGTGTTGGCCGGGCTGGTGCTCTCGCTGTCTGGAAGTGCCTCGATGCGATTTGTCTCGTGGTTGATGGGGATTTGCGCATCCGCGCCGACTCCTGAGCTCATTGCGTTGGTTCCATAACCGCTGCCGTCATATCCGTTGTAGTACCCGGCCGTCGACTGCGGGTTGGCTCCGCTGAAGATATCACCCTCTGCTGGGATCTGGTCGAAATCAAACAGCTCGGTGGCATCTTTGATCACGCCGTCCTCGGGACCGGTCGTCGCCGTTGGGTCGGCTGATGTTGTGACCGGTACCGAGTGCGACGAGTCGCCGAAATCTAAGCTGTTTTTATTATGTTCGAGGTCTCCAATGTCCGTGAAGTAGTCGTTGGTGAAGATCTCATCGAGGTTTAGTGGGGGAGGGGGGACGCTGCCGTCAGTGCCAATGCCAGGGATGGTGCCCGTAGGGCTCAAGGGTTGAAGCAGGTTGGTCAGGTTCTGCACAGAACGGTCTTGCTCCGCTTGCATCTTCACCAGGTTGTCGATCTCCGCACGGGTATTGGCCAGTCGCCCCGAGTAGTTGTGTGGCATCGGCGGTGGCGTCGGGGTCATCAGCGCGTTGTTCTGAGACACCGGCGGGCTGGTGCCGCTGGAATTGCTCTCGTTGGCCATCAGACGGAGCATATCTGCACGCTGGTTGGGGGTGAGTGGCGAGTTTCCTCCGGATGTTTCAAGGGATGACAGCACATTAGGGAAGTCGGCGAACGTCGTTGGCATGCCGTTGCGCGCATTGGAGTTCTGAATCACAGACATAATATCCCGTTGTGGGAACTGTTGATTCGCTGGCACCGCCGCCTCCTTTTGCCGCGGGCTCGTGTCAAACACCTCCTCGACATGGCCGGGTTGCGACGCACTCGGCTGCCGGCCATGGCCACGTGGTTGTGAGCGGTCATAGGCGGTGGCAGCAGGGGACAATGTTGTCGCACGGCTCTGCCGGTCAGCCCCCGGGGGGGCTTTCAGCAAGAGGGGTTGCTTCTTCATTGACCGTTGTCCACCAGGGCTATTCAGATTGGACGCACCTAAGGTGCTCAGCGTATACTCGTCCCCCATGTCGACAACGTTGCCTTGGTCTTGGGAAATAGCTCCCGCGAACGAGTTCGCCAAATTCTGCGGTCCCTCCTGCCCTTGCAGACTGCGGTTGTAGACAGTTGCTAGGAAAGTGAGGATGGCATTTATCGAGTTCTCGTGCCGCGTATGCTGCTCCTGGAAGTTGGCCGCCTGCGCGTACAGTTGCTCGTGCTCGCGCCGTAGTTTGCTGATGGTGTTGGAAATGATCTGTTGTTGCTGCCGAATAGCTTGCAATTCTCGATACACGCCTGCCAGTTGGTCTTTGGGCATGACATTGTTCGTGATGAGGGACAATTGGCGGTTGCGCGCACGATCATCTCGAGATCCAATGCCATCATCCCCGTAGTCGTCGTGGTCCTGGTCCTCCGCTTCCTCGGTCTTCACACGCACGTTTGCTTTCCCAGACTTGCTACCCTGGCCCGCCGTGTTCTTGGGCTTCTGAATCAACCATAGCAGGTCAGGATGCCCGCGCTTGAAGTAGGGGTTGGCGTATTCGCTCGGGCTCTTGTTCTTCCGCTCGCTAGCACGCATCGAATTGTCCGACAGCCCAACCTTCTTGTGAAAGCCGTACATGTTCAGCTGGCGAACGAAAGAGGCGTAGTTGTTGTGTTTGAACAGCTCCGGAATGAGGGTCTTCGCAAACTCATCTTCATCCATCACGATGAAAGAGTTTCCATCATCAGACCATCGGATAAGTTCAGTGTTCTTCGACTCGTCCAGAAAACTACACTGCAGTTAGTATTCGTTCATTCGTTCCTGTCAGTCGGTCGACCTACCTGCTCAGCTTTTGCACAAATGGAGGGATCTGCTTCCGCTTGGCCTGCGCCTCCCTCTTCGCAACCATCGCGCGCTTGTATAGGTCCTCCAGACTCTCCCCCCATCCCCCATTTTCTCCAGTCCCAGTACTATGATCGGAGAACGGTGGTGTTTGTTCATATCCTCGACCGCGATTCACCAGTTGAGTTGGGGTTTGACGACGCGCAAGCTGCCCCGGAGCAGCAGCAGTAACGTTGGCCGCAGGCACGTCCGGGCTGGATGTGTAGGCAGCAGCGCTGTAGGGGTTGGAATCAGGGAAGGAGGGACTGGACACGTTCGAGGATGTCTGACCCCATTGCAGAAACTGGTCGTTGGAGAGTTGGTTTCCGGGGTTCTGAGGGTAATTGGATAATGGGCCCAGCTGAGGATGGACGATCGGGGATGTGCCAGGCGCAGGTCTCTTGCGGGTAATTCCTTGAGGACTCATCACAGGCGATAAAACCAACGGTCGGTAAAGAGCAAAGACGTTCTAAGGGGCGAGTAAAGTCGCGTATACGATGGCCTAGGGTCGTCCACTAGGAGGGAAGGAAGAATAACGGCGATTGGGCGAGAGACGAGAGAAGTACTTAGTCGGTCGGGTAAATGGCGGGGTGAGCGGAAGGCCTTAGTTGGCACGGGCAATCCGAAAATGAGGAGGGGAACTTGTCATCAACGTCGTGATTTTCAGAGATGTCCAGGGCGATGGCACTCAGAAGGATGAAGAGCGCTCAGCAGCGGAGAGAGCGTGGGACTGCAGGCGCAAGTGTCAATGGCGGAGACGCGACGGCGCCGCCGCAGACGCTAGGCGTAGTAGCAAGAATCGAATGTAAGGCGGGCGTCAGGCAATCTGCGAAGACGGAAATTCTATATCGGACCGAAAATATGCGTCTGAATGCGATGCAGTCGCTGAATCCGAATTACTTGAGTGAATCAGGCTGGCGATGGAGAATCGACAGAGCCTATTTAACACGGGAAGGCTCTGGGGCCGAAGGTGGGTTGAGAGATACAACCGAGCCGGCGCAACAAAGGCAGGCACAAAGCGCAGAAGAAACAAAGCCTTCCACCACGGGAGGTGAAGAAGAATGGGCGCGACGGAGAACGGGATGAAGCGATGGAGTTGGATCTGAGGGGGCTCAGGACAGGCAACGGCGTCTGGTCACCGCCAGCAAACTCGGGAACTCGAGATGCTTGGCGGGCGGTGATGATCTCAAACCTCGGCGGTGAGTCGTGATTGGCCAATGGCTGACTCAGCGTACGGCACGTGGACGAGGGCGTCTCAGTCGCGATTCGCAGTTTTCCGTTGTTATTCACTCCAATATCCCTCCTGGGCGTCAAAGGCTTTGTTCTCACTTACGGACAGCAACCATCGTCAACGGCAACCATTGCTGCTGACCACGCTACTGTTATGACCTCTACTAAGTACTTGCTAGTGAGGTTGGCTCCCTTCGGGACGGCAAGCTCCCCACTGCCCCATTGTCCAATCACCACCCGCTAATCTTTGCGGCATCGACTTGGCCCATTTCTTCGGACGGCCTGATCCAAAGCCTGTTTTCCTTCCAGAGGTTTCACGATGCTTCTATGGATTTCTGACGCTTCAAATTTTTCCCTAGCCAAACATCTAGGGGCTGCAGAAAGCCAAGCACAGATGTACAGGATGAAAGCAATCAAAGACTTCACCATCAAGAGAATCAGTCTATTCCACCATCTGGTCACCAGTTAACTGCCGGAAGCGTTTCAGTATTCTCTGCCACAGGTCTGGCTGATCCTCCGTAAACCGCTCGATCTTCTGCAGGGCAGCCAAGTCTTCCTCCATATGATGGCGCTTGGTTGTGCCGTCCAACACCGTAGTGTGTCCCAGTCCTAGAACAAGACAGTAAAGTGCTGCAGCTGGCGAGATATCTGCTTCGTGGGCAAGCAGCTGAACAGCATCCGAGCGAATTAATTCTGGATTTGCCGATAGCGTCCAGAAGCTCTGGTAAATGATTTGGTTCTCCCGGCAAAAGGCCCTCAAGGGAACATCGTATTGCGTGTCGGCATAGAATCGGTTCTGAACCACAGCAGGCTTTACCCTTGCTTGGCCAAACAGCTCCTTCAAGATGGACAGAGTCGTGTTGGATATACCCAGGCTACGTATCTGGTGAGGAACATAGCTCTCAACCGCGGACCAAGCCTCCAATGTCTGAGACATCGTCGGCAGCGGTGAATGCAGAATGAGCATGTCAATGTATGCGTCGTTCACACTATCTGCCGTGCCTGAGGGCCGGAGATTATGCAGCGACGACTTGATAGACGCATGGACCTGATCAGTCACCGAGGCCTTGGGGTCATACGGCATATTATCCGGACTCTGGCCATTGACGGACGTGAATTTGGTTTGGACCTGGCATGAATTAGCAACAGGCAGACACGAAATGCAATGGAAAATTTCTAATTTTGGGTTTTGCTGTGGATTGACCACTTACATGAAGATCTTCTCGTCGGACGTAGCCGTCCTGGAGGGCCCTGCGTATGCCTTCCCCGACCAAGTCCTCGCGATAATGCTTGGGTTGGGCAGCAGTGTCCACGGCGCGGAAACCAGCCCCGAGCGCCTGGTGTACCAAATCGGCGGTCTGGTCTTTCTTCCAAGCGGTACCGTAGATTAATGTGGGAATGATGGCGGGAGGTGCGTTTTGCACGGGACGGAGGACGTGACTTTCCCAGGAGAGTTTGGTTATTGCAGCGCGAGCCATAGTGAGGTCGATCAATTCAATGGCTTGGATGATATGCAGGGTTGTAGCCGAGATGCCTTGTCATGATGCCTGCGGATGAGCGGATGCAGGAAGAAAGTAGCGGTTAACTCCGACCGGGTTATCCAAGGTGCGAGCACCTGACTTCATGATGACCTAACTCATAGGGACCTGCTGTGTTGATATCGACAAGACTTTGCAACCATAGGTATCTGGGTGTGTGTGATAGCGGTGGCCTGCAGCAAAGATTGACTAGTGGTAGCAGCTTTGTTCCGGTCCCTCACATTTGCACACAGGCAGCATCATTATCCGAGCTTTAAGTGGCAGATGCAGGTGTGATGTTTCTATAACCTGTGCAGGAACTAAATATAGCGGGGAGGCAGTGCATCCATCCGATGCTAGAACTTCACCCGCGGGTGGAGAAGGAATAGCTTCTTGTACTGTGTACCTGGGCTTTCCCCAAATTTGAGCATTGAACCATTTCATTCGAGACAAATTTCCATGCAGTGTCATGCCAGCTGATGGATAACTCCGGCAGATGAGTTCCTCGTTGGTTCCAGAAGAGCCCCGAGTGACAGTGTCACAGATGACATCATACCTTTATCCCATACTTGACTGCAGTAGAAACCTCCCTTGACTCTATGCAAAAACAGCACTACACCAGCAGCCCCCAACAACATTCCATGTAACCCCGGGAATCATTCCGATCAATCAATCAACCCACTCCACAACTCGCCTACTATTGAACTATCGCGACCCACACTCAGGGACTCCAACTGCAACGGCATATCGGGCTACCCCACCGTGGCGGTGCCCTGACACTATCAAACTATACAGCCATTCAGCAACACCAAATTCAGACTAACTTCCAGGCAACTTCGTTCTCATCTCCCAGATTGGTGTTATCAGAGATGATCAGGGTCCTCCCGCAGCTTGGCATGACCGAAGTGCATATACCCGAGCTACTGATCCTTACTTCCACCTATCTCTCGTGCCGAATCAGGCAAGCTGGGGGTGGGAAGACCTCACGAATGTAGGGAGGACAGTTGTTTCCGATATTGCATTGAGGAGTTGTTGTGCATATGATTCTTCTCCTAGCAGCATGTCACCTACCCCGACTAGTAGTACAGAAAAAAACAAATATAGAAACAAAGTAGGTAGTGGTATACAGAGAAACAAGGTATAAATAAGAAGCAATATCCATCCAACATCGATATATCATCATCAACATCAATTCCTTCGAGAACAAACCATCATCACATTTCAATCATCCCTACTACTTAACGCGGCCTTGTCTCTAAAGCCTCCCAATCGCCACCACAGGAACAACACCACAAACAGCAGCAAAAGCAAAAGCAAAAGCAAAAGCAATCGAAAATGCACTTCCACCTCATCCCAGCCCTCCTCTCCATCACCACCACCCTCCTCTTTACTCCTCTCGTCCGCGCCGACAACGACCTCGACTCTGACGATGTCCCCGACCGGTGCTGGTCCGTCTGCGGTCCCGTCGTAGGCATAACCCAGGGCTGCGACCACCGGTACGACGACAACGACCGCGCCGAGCTCAACTGCATCTGCAACTGGGCCGAGGCACCTACTCTTCTGCCATTGTGCGAGGCCTGCATTGCCAATTATCGCAGAGAGCATGACCATGACGACGACCATGATGCGCATGATAATGGTAGGTTTGCCATTCTAATACAAGTTTTGTATAGAAATGAAAGAATGATGTGCTAACTATAACAGACGCCTACGACATCCTCACCTCCTGCTCTCTGTCCACGACAACCTGGAACGCAGCGGCCGCTACTTCTGCCCTTCAGTCTGTGAACAGCACGAGTGCTACTGCTACCGCTACTGGCTCTGGTGCTGGGGCTAGTGGTACTGGCTCTGCGGCTTCGACCGGTGGTTCTGCTGCTGCCGCGTCTTCTACTGGTGATGTTAATGGGGCTGTTGGAGTGAGCGTTCCCGGGCTCTCGTCTGTGGCGGTGATGTTGGCCATGGGTATGGGGTATTTGGGTATGGTTTGAGATGGATGGATTATTGATTGAGGAAATGCATGGAGGATCATGGTCATGAGAAATGAGTTTTATATTGATGAGATGAGATTTTAACATCTCTAGGATACCTCCGTTGGTTATCTGATATTCTATCTTGGGGTGATGTTTGTGATAGCTGAGGGTGGAGGATGATATAAGGGGTGCTATATTTGATGGATAGGTATAGGACGTTCCTTACAGAAGTAATACATGATTCTGCGCTTTGGTCTTGCTTCTTTGTGGTGTGCATGTGGATAGCTGTATATGCACAACAATCAGTGATAAGATCTTATCATCCTTTCATTATCGAGTCAGATTCGGAATACGCCCCCAATTAGTCCATTGTGAGAACATAATTCTGCTTTGCAGTCAGATCAATGTCTATGACTGCTAAGACTTTGAGTTATTAAGATAGTATGGCCTTTAGGGCCGGGTTCTGAGACATGACGAGGCTCTTCGGTAAATATATATATGCCGTCCGTTATTGCTAAGTACCGGCATATAAGACATACTAATACTGCAAGATGTCACCGACCTCATTCTGCATAGATAATACAATATATCTTAATGCGATGTACATTATTATTTAGGGTAGTAGCATGGACTCTCTCATGCGTCTTAGCCAAACAAATTCCTCGCAGTTCTCATAAGCGCGCACATGGTTGAACACCCACACTTCAATAGCTGATAGTCCAGCCATGCACAAATAAAATCAAATGATTACTCTAGTTCTGTGTCTTTATCTCCTGCAAGAATTTTGAACACCCAATGTGAGGCAGTCCGAGAAAATAATGTCAACAATGTCGTACGGATCCCCTCGATGCACCTGATGTGGCTAGGTGGCTAAGTATCATGGTTCCTTTCCGCTAGTATGGATAGACATCGAGTACTCAGTTGTGAAGTTGGACTTGCTCAACATGCGTGGGTCAAAGCTAATGATGGTCTAATTACTGTGGAATTTGAGAGACGCCTGTTAACATAGCAGCGACAAAGAAGCGAAAATACAATGCAAGATCATAGCCCACAAGACCGGTTAAGCCGACAACGAATCATAGCAAGAGACAACAGTACCCCTAGACAAAGAGACGAGTAGAGACTTTTCTAAAACTTTATGTTCCGCCACTGACAATCTTAAACTCTGCTCATTGGCCTGTGACACTCCGAGTACAAGGTACTTTCTTTAATTATCGGGGATAGACGCCTTCGCACTAGCCCATGTCACAAAGCGTATTTGAACTCCATTCATACTCAATTGATTGAGGTACACAACTACAGAGTTTCAACAGACGCGGAGCGGAGCATATATTGAAGTCAATTGTACAAATAAGGACATAAGGGTCATGAAAGTGTGTAATCAGGAATATAAACGTGTCAATTTCTCTGGTGAGCCGGAAAAGAGCTAGCTTTCACATGTTTACTATGTACCAGTGTGACAGTTTATATAGTGTTTCACAAAGTGTTCTACAGATCCTTTCTATTGTAGGCAAAATCCTAATGAATTTATTCTTTATCATTAACCTTGATGGGAGACACTGAGATTCCCAAGTGTGAAAGGTATGATTCCATCACTGTACTTACTTTTCTGCACTGCTTGAGAAGGCGACCCATTTAGGAGGAATGTCGCTGCTATCAGCTGGCATGATTTCATCGTGCTTAATCCTATAATCACGATGCCCACTTGAACAATACAAAATTATTCAGAAAGAACAAATCATGATTCCGCAGTGTTCCTTGTCTTTGTGTGGAGTAAGAGTTGTGTCCGAGTCCAACGTATAATTGAGTCCGAAGGCCATCATACAATCAAAAGTGAGACAGAAGCACAGCGAGCGATATACTATCATCTCCAAACACCATTGGACATGATTCAAACATCAAAATATATCCCCGATTATACTATATCGTACTACCTACCATCATCCTCATGTCACACACAATCCAAATACAGTGCCTGAAGAACCTGTCACGACTAAGTAGGTAACCACCACCAACCCAGCATAACGTGCACCAGACCCTCATGCCTGTCTGTCTCCTTGCTTGAAAAACGAAATTACTTTAAACTCCTATCAGAGACACGGGCTAAGCACAGATAAGCCCACCACCACTTCCTCCTCAATAAACATTCGACTGGCAAAACAAGGAGTGAGAGCACGCCAGCCACACTCCAAAAGCCACCTAATTTCCATAATAGATACAAGCCACACATCACAGCCACAATTAACCAAATCCATCCTTAATAGGTTGTAGGCAACAAACAAAGCACACGCATTCTGCCTAAAGCCCACACACACCCGCAACTTGCACCGCCCAACCGGTAAGGATTACTTATCTTGGGAATAGGTAAATGCCACGAATACTCACTTAACCACAATACTGTGAATGTGTCCACAACTACTGTACCAGCAACTATGTCCCAACTTTAAGCCACCACTCCAAACACAAGATATAAATTAATCAATTATGTAAACAATACTTAAGCGAAGCGATACTTAACTATTAATTAACCACCAAAATCTTACTGCGCATTCCTTTGAACAATTATCCCATCGGATAAATGAGAAAGCAAAAAATCGAATAAAAAAGCAGCCCACCAATCCGCTGATCGGTAGGTTTTAGTTAGAGACTCAAGTACTTAGTTTCCTGCAACATGCAAAGAATCTGCAGCGCTGAACGAATTACGGGAGTAGTAGAACTCAGGCAGTGCAGTGCAGGGCGAACGAAGGAAAAAAAAGGGAAGGGGAAGGGGAAGGAAAGAAATTCCGATAATTCGGAGTTGAACCCTTACATGAGATTTACTGTAGTGCACGGATGAGTGAGTGAGTGATGGATGAGGTAGTCAAGGGGAGGAAGAATTTCTTCGTTTTGATTTACCTACTTGGTCTGTGATGGAGGACTCTTTATATGAGTTTGTTGGTTTTGGGTTTATCTGTCTGTCGAATTTATGTGTAGTATTTACTACTACTACCT